GTCCTGGTTGGTGACCCTGTCCTGGTGTTTGACCAGAATGGAGCTCTGGAGCAGGACAAGCTCAATTCAGACTTCAGGGCCTCTTTTCCTCCAAGGAACTTCTTATTCCCAGGAATGTGGGATTCAGGTGTTTCATTGATAGGTCAGGCTTCTTCTGTACAGACATGGAATGAGGGTATGGACAAGGTGCCACATGGGATCCCAGGATGGTTTGGGTTGGAGGGACCTTAAAGCCCATCCAGCCCCACCCCTGCCATGGGCAGGGACACCTTCCACCAGCCCAGGTTGCTCCAAGCCCCATCCAACCTGGCCTTGGACACTTCCAGGGATCCAGAGGCAGCCACAGCTTCTCTGGGCAACCTGGGCCAGGGCCTCCCCACCCTCCCAGCCAGGAATTCCTTCCCCATATCCCATCCATCCATGCCCTCTGGCACTGGGAAGCCATTCCCTGTGTCCTGTCCCTCCCTCCCTTGTCCCCAGTCCCTCTCCAGCTCTCCTGGAGCCCCTTCAGGCCCTGAAAGGGGCTCTCAGCTCTCCCTGGAGCCTTCTCTTCTCCAGGGGAACCCCCCCAGCTCTCCCAGCCTGGCTCCAGAGCAGAGGGGCTCATAGGACTCAGAATCCATGGAACTGATCCAGCACCTGCAAATCTGTGCCAAAAGGAAGAGCTCAGGCTGGAAAAGGAACATGAGAGAATTCCTTGCTGGAAAGGGTGGTGAGGCCTTGGCAGGGGCTGCCCAGGGAGGTTTGCAGTGCCCATCCCTGGAGGTGTCCCAGGAAGGCCTGGCCGTGGCACTCAGTGCTCTGGGCTGGGGGCCAAGGTGGGGATGGGGCCCAGGGTGGATCCATGGGCTGGGAGGGCTTTTCCAACCTCAGGGATCCTGGGATTGAAAAAACCCAACTGAATCATGGTCAGGAGAAGGGGGACTTTGTCTCCCATGACAGACTTCCAAGCTTCACCTCCTGGTCAGCTGGGAGGGATCAGGCTGAGTGGGAGACATCCCACGGGAGCAGATGATGGACCATTAGCCCAGTTCCCCCTCCATGGCAGTGGCATTACAAGATTAATTGTAATTAATTAAGGAGATTACTTAAGGAGATCACATTTCCTGGCCATTCCAGGTGGTCCATTGCCCTTGTCCCTTCCAGATTCCAATGTCATGGCACTGGCCACATCAGCAGGGCTGTCCCTGCTTGGTCCCGTTGCAGTCTGGGCACGGACCTGCTCTCTGGGAATTCATCCCAGCCCTCTCTGAGTCTGCCAGTGCTGATCGTCTCCATGGCTCCTGTGGCCTCCAGCTCCTGTTGCTGTGGGATTTGGGGGTTCCAGGACCACCCCCACTGCCTTGGTGGGGTTTGTAAACCTTGGCCATGCACCTCCCTGAGCCTTCTCTTCTCCAGACCGGACAGTCATGGAATCACAGAGTCAGTGAGGCTGGAAAAGATCCTTAGCATCATTGAGACCAATTGCCAAGGCCACCACTGACCCATGTCCCCAGGTGCCACATCCACACAGCTTTTCAGTCCCTCCAGGACTGGTGGCTCCCCCCCTGCCCTGGGCAGCTTGTTCCAGTGATTGATATTTCCAGCCTGGCTCCGTAGGGAAGTTGCTCCATCCCCTTGACCATTTTAATTGCCCTTTTCTGGTCCTGCTCCACCTCCACCTCTTCCTCCTGGAGATGCTGAACCAGAGCAGCTCCCAGCACATGCAGAGCCCCCAGTGACACGTCTCACCTCCCTTTCCACCTCTTCCCTGGTAGCTTTTGTTGCCTTTTTTGGCTGCTCCTGTGCACCAAACTCACAATTTCGAGAGTTCAATATCAACTCCAGGACTGTCTGGAACTGGACCCACCAGGTCCACGTCCAGCATCGTGCTGGTGGCTCCTCCCTGTGCCTGTATCTGTCTCCCTTTCCTCTCAGTTTGGGATCCTCCTGGATCTCCTCAGGGTCGATGCCTCGTCTGGCTGCTCAGTTTTTAATGCCCGGGTTGTGACACATTTCTCTCTGTAATGTTTTGAAGAGCCTTTCTCCACGATTTGACTCGTGATTTATTGTCTCCTTCCAAGCCTAAAGCAAGAGCAGGGCATCCTCATTAGGTCCTGTGTCCAAAAAACTGGAATTTTTCCTTACTTCTGTGCATTACCGGAGTCCTCCTGCCTGGCTCTGCTCAGGGAGCTGGAGTTGATTGTTTTGTTCATTTTCTGCCTCCTCTTTCGTGTCAAAGTGCTTTTCTTCCTCCTGTGGGAGATGGAGTTGTGCTCCCAGAGCTGACATTCCGTACTGGAGGAGGGGGTGGCTGATCTCGGATCACCTGCACTCAGCAGCTGCTCTTCCCTCTCCATCTCCACACACTGGGTCTCTTGTGGCTTCTCCAGGCTGGGATTGAGGCTCCTTCCCACTGGGAAGTGCCCAAGGAGGGTTTGGTGGGAGCTCCCCTCTTTGGGGGTGCAGATCCAGCCCCGGTTCTGGGTGATCTCAGCGCCGGTTTCTCATCCCAGACTGACTCAGCTCTGAGGCAGAGACGGAGCAGGGAATGTTCACACCATCTTCTGAGAGCTCAGCTCGCCTCCCCAGCACACCATTCCCTCCGTTTGGGTCTGGAATTTTGCCAAAAACTTTGCTCCGAGGAGTTGTTTGTGGCTCTGGGGTTCATCCAGGGAACCCCCAGGGACTGAGGCTGGATCAGGGTTTGTGTTTGTCAGAAATTGGGGGGTTTTTTCCCAGACTGGGGAGGCCCCCCTGGAATCCCGGGGGCAGGAGAGACCTGGAGGGGCTGGAGCGTGTGCAGGGAAGGGAAGGGA